GGTTAATATTAAAATTATTAACTTGGTTATATTAGTAAAATAAATACCAGTAATTTTGTATTAACAAGGACATCAAAATCACATCTCCCGCAATAACTTTTAGTGCATTACTAGCTACTGGTAAACACTGACCATGGCCTATTTTGCACTTCAAGCCGAGATCACCGGATGACATATTACAATCATGGTCAGTTTTGCATTTATAATAAACACACCTCCCCTGTTAATCACTCCATAAATGGTTAGGTGCGCACCTACACTCGCCAATTATACAGATCTCATTCTCGGCACAGGTAGCATTTGTCCCATCACATTTAACCGGGGTATACGGCTCGCATTTTCGTCCATTATTTGTATTTTCGCGTTCGTTATACTTATCACAGGCGCACTCACCTACTCTACACGCCCGGCCACTATCGTAAGTTAAATAACAATCCTCATCAGCCTTACAGTCAAAATGCACGCACTTCTGGGTAAAGGCATCCCATTTATAGTTGGGTGCGCACCGGCACCTGTCGTCCACGCATAGCTCATTACTAGTACAGTTCCCGTCGATGGTACACACGGGCGCCCAATTTAGCTCACATTTTCTACCATTATCTGGATTTTCACGATACAGCTCACAGACACAGTGTCCCTGATCATCGCATACCCTATAATTGTCCCAATGCAGACACGTGTCCTCTGGTTTATCACTGCATTTATAGCTAGCACATTTAAGTTGATCGTAGTCCCACCGATAGTTGGGCGCGCATCTGCATTTTTGATTGACACATAGCTCGTTTTGGTCAGCACACAATTTTTGTGAACTACATGGTGGTGCGTAGTTACTGGTACATTTATCGCCATTATCAGGATCTTCTCGGAAACCTACGGAACATAAACATTTACCCTGGTAACAATTAAGTCGAACCACGTCATAATCGGATTCGGCGAAACAGTCGTGTGAGGTAGTACAATCAAAATGCTCGCATTCATTATTTATTTTTATTACACGATAATTAGCTTTACATCGGCACACGTTGTCAATGCACGCCTCATTGTCACCCTTACATAGGTAGGTAGAGTTGCATGATATATTTACTTTGATATCTAAACATTTGTTGTAGTTGAATAAACAAATAAATATTAGCAATATAATCAGATATGATATGGAGTGTAATGGAAGCATATTTATAATTTTAGACTCATAAAATATTATTTTATTTTTAATGCCCGACAGTATAAGAATTTGGGTGTGATTAAAAATATATTAAACGTAAAATTTATTTTGCGAGCTCGTATTTATATAAAATAACAAGCACATAAAAGATATACTTTTACTATAGTCGTTTGTCTGAGAGAATCAGTACACAAAACTTGATACTCTTATCTTATCAAGGTGGTGAGTGTAGGTGTACACAAATATTGTTAGCTAAATTGACATTGACATGAGCTTAGTATTTTATGACAATTAATAATGCGAGTATATTTATTATCAATAGTGAACATCACCAAATAAAACAGAGTATTTTTTCTATGCCCTTAATGTACATTTTTCAATAGATTAGATAAGAATTTATTGAATTCACGAAGGTAACTCACGAAATATTAAACAATAATTAATTAATTGTTGTGATTTTATAAAATTTTTTTATATGTTTGGAAAATTCAAAATTCATATTTAACCATTGTTTCGCAATAGATAAGTCTTATTAGTAATATACAGTATGTAGGCGTTTATATGCTTTAATATTTTATTACAGAAATAGCCGTATATTATATTTGTTATCAAGATTAAAAATTATCAAATGGTAGACGGTATATTTTATTTATGCCCTTATTATAAATAATTATTTTAAAATTAATATTTTACAATAAATGGTATGAATTTATTGACTCGAGTCATTGATTTGCAAAATCGTTTTTAATTATTTAAAATTTTTAAAAATTGAGTAACATACATTTTTAACCAGTGCATAAGAATATTTTTAATAATGTAATAATTCAGGAATATTTAATACAAATACAAATGAACTAGATAATTAAAAATACTTTAATTATTAATCAATTAATGAATTAACAAAATAATAAATTATTATGGCAATAGGTGCCAACAATAAATTACGTGCAATTACATTTACTGCACCGTTACCGCCATCAGGAATGCACTGACCATGGTCAACCTGACACGTCGTATTGTAATCACCGGATGACATATGACAATCATGGTCAGTTTTACATTTATAATAAACACACTTCCTTTGTTGATCACTCCATAAATGGTTAGGTGCGCACCTACACTCGCCTTTTATACAAATTTCATTTTCATAACAGGTAACATTTGACCCTGAACATTTTTTCGGAGAATAATACTCGCATTTTCGTCCATTTTTCGGGTATTCGCGCTCGTAATACTTATCACAGGCGCACTCACCTACTCTACACGACAGCCCCCAATAATCATGGCTACGGCACTCGTCATCAGTCTTACAGTCAAAGTGTGCGCACTTCCCGGTAATGGTATCCCATTTATAGTTGGGTACGCACCGACACTTGCCATCCATACACAACTCATTACTAGTACAGGTCTCGTCTCGGGTGCACCCTGGTACCCAATTCAACTCGCATTGACGTCCATTATAAGGGTTTTCGCGATACCCATCCTTACAGACACAGTTCCCCTGAACACATTGCCTGTACGCGTCATTGTGCCATCCACTTAACTGACACTGGTCCTCTGGTTTATCACTGCATTTATAATTAGTACACTTGAGTTGATTGTAATCCCACCGATAGTTAGGGGCGCACCTACATTGTTTATTAACACATAGTGAGTTTTCACCACACCATCTATCCCAAGTGCATGGTGGCGCGTAATCGTACGTACATTGACCGCCATTATCAAGATCTTCCCTGTAACCTTTAGAACATAGACATTTACCCTGGTAACAATTAAGGCGATACATGTCATATGCAACGTAACACGTGTCGGGTGTAGTGCAATCGAAATGTTCGCATTCATTGTCTATTAAATAATAATTAGGTTTACATCGGCACACGTTGTCAACGCACACCTTATTGTCACCATCGCATGGTTTATCAGGTTTGCACGATACAATCAGTGTAGTATTTAAACAATGGTGGTAGTTTAACTGGCTAATAAATACGAATAATATACTTAAATATGATATTAATATTATTGAATTAATGGTTTCAATACAAGACTATTATAATTTATGAAATTTTAAAAATCGTATAAGAATATGTGGATTATAAAAAAACATATAAAACCAATTGTATCAAATGTTATAAAAATTTATTTTGCGAGCTCGTATTTATATAAAACTAAAAACAGATTACAATAAGTTTTGTTAACCCGCTATGGAAATATGCAAAGAAACATATAGTATTTTATTTTCCCACCTTAGTACATTTTTCAATAAAATAGTTTCATAATAGATAATAAGTATTTTTTGTAACACTAGTATTACCTTTAATAGTATATGTATTGTATAAGCTTATCATGTATAATATTACTTTTATTTTGTGAAATAATGATATAAATTATGATACGAAATTTATTGCTACAGTGCATTAAAAATATTTATAATACATAAGACATACAGTCTAGTTATGTATAATAATATACCTAGGTAACAATTCAAACCACTACTAGTGTAACAAACACAAATATAAATGGATTAACATATCATTAACTAAAAAATATTTTTATATTGATAAGCATCCTTGTTAGATTTTTAAAATAAGGTTACTAAATAAAGTATTTTATTACATTTTATTTTCATTTACAAGTTAATAATACTAATGTTGTCAGTGCACTAACAGCACTAACTGCACTAATTGATCTTACCTTGATAATAGCAATAATTCGCGTACTTAATATGTATTATTAATCTATGTAATAAACTCCTACTTATATTTATCAAACATCATTTTAGATTAAATGCTAATAAAATAGTCCTATTTTATAATTACCCAATAATTCATAAATGTTAAATATATTTAACAAAATATACAAAAATTTAATAAAACAATACATTAGATTTAATCATATTATTTATAATATTAATTCATTATAATAAAAATACAATATACATATATATATATATATATATATTTAGCACTTCAAGGTAAAACTATGTATTTAATGATAAAAAATTATTGATAATATATTGATATGTATAATGTAAATATTATACAATGGGACATTATTCTTACACTAAATACACAGCTTTACCAAAAACTGACAATGGTACTTATGGTGTGAATTAATTATTCGATAACATGTTTAGACACTTTCAACGATACCCGGTAATAACTTTCATATTGAAATAATTTTTGCATTAAAAATTAAATAAATAAATATGCTACTAGTATTATATTAATAAACAATAGAGTATTGGTATAGCGCAAACATTATACAAATGAAGTTAAAATATGAATGTCCTGTCTCATATTAAAGCATGTTTGGGGTATTGAACTCAATATGTCTTTTGTAAATTATATGTAAACTTGATTGTTGCTTTAGACATTTCAAATTAATATTATGTAATAGTATGCATGAATTTATTTTGCGAGCTCGTTTTTATATAAAACTAAAAACAAATTAAAATATGCTTTATTAGACCACTGTAGAAATAATTTTATCAGGTACGTAAAAATTTTTAATTCAATTATTTTAATATTTAATAATTTTAATATTTAATAATTTTATTATTATTATTATTATTAGTATATTATTATCAAATTAATTTAACTGTTCACTTTTTTACTAATACGTTATTTAAATTTACAAATATACATACAGTATATATATTATAAGATTTTATTTTTATAACTATCTATATGTACATAAATTTATATTACCATATTTAATTATCATTTTTAATATCGGCACCTATAGGGTAGCCACAAGTGGTGATGACATTTTAAAAATGCGTCATCGGTACGTAGTAACCCACGTTCCCACCAAAAACTTGAAGGCTTACTACCCGCTATATTTCAGGCGGGCACTGAACACCCAGTCCCAGAAAACGGGGTACAACCCTGAAAATTGTATAATTATGTTATTTACAACTACAAATAACATTTTATTATAATTCAGGAATATTTAACATAATATAAATAATAGGGCAATTAAAAATATTATAATTATAGATCAATTATCAACAGATATTATATAATATACATTATAAATATAAAATATTTGATTATGCCACTTATTGTACATTATATAGACACTCCACAATTATCATTAAATAAATATTACCTATTTAATAAACTAGCTCATACAAACAAAATGAAACTATTACAAGGTTAAGCAATTATTATTTACTTTATCATCATAAATTATAAAAATAAATAACACCCACATTTAAAATATTGCAAATAATTTATTTTATTTTAGCAAATAGTTAATTTTAACCAGTAACATTATTATTAGTAGGTTATAATTAGTGGTGTAGCAAGTAATCCAAGCGGTTAACAGCTACCTTTTCATACTGCTCCTCATAGTTCATGCTATTTTCTACCAGATGCAATTGATCCAGGTTCTCGGCTATGTCCACGTCATGTCTGTATTTTTCCAATAGTGGTATATCCCTCTTAAGATCCTTAAACTCCTCGGTGGTATTCACCTTGGTGTTTTCGTAGGTTTTTATATCATTTTGAATTAACTTTGCCAGTGCATCAATGCGACCATATAGTTGCTTTCGTAAACCTTCTAGGTCCTCGGTACTTACTATTTATTTTTAAATATATATTTATTTGTTACTACTAAATATATTACTAGATAAGTTATTTAGTTTTTTAAATAATATTATTTATTGGTCTAGTAATCATATAAATTACTAAATATGCTAGAAATAATTAAAAGTATAAATACAATTATAACGTACCTAGTACAACAAAGGCAAATACAAATAATAATGCGTACTTCATAATTGTAATTTGTATTAAATGTTTTCGTAAATACAAAGTTTAACTATTATATTAACCCTTTGTTTTCATAGCTATTTATATTATTTTAAATGAAACAATTTTAATCTAAACCTCAAGTGGTTTATTGAAAGTGATAAATAATATAGACTATTAACTTTGGTTTAAAGTATAAACTAGTGCAATTAATACCCATATGCTAGGACCCCACAAATCGTAAGTAAATAATATCCTT